GTGATGAAAGGAGGCTTGACTTAGGGTGGTGAACACACAATACAATATACAGATGATGTAAGAAAAAAAGTTTTTAATATTATGAAATATCTCCATTTACAGAGGATGCATTTTATAAGGCTATAGCTGGCATTGATAGTGACTCTTCTTATGGATCTGAGCCTAGTAAATTGTAGATGATATATAATATGCTTGTGTAGTAGGTAATTGGTGCCCTGAGAATAAAAAGTCACCCAGGTCTAAGGTTTATAAATCTAATGCTGACTCCAGGTCTCCATGCTCTTTCTCTGTGAAAGTAGGAATAGTGTTTACAACATTTTTTAAAAATTGGTTTTTTAGAGATAAAGGGAGAGAGAGGGAAGGAGGAGTGAATATATTTTCCCCATAGATTTTTAGAGAGAGTGGAAGGAAGGGGAGGGAGAGAAAGAGAGAGAGAAGAGAGGAAGAGTGAGAGAAAGAGAGAAAAAAAACATCGATTGGTTGCCTCCCACTTGCTCACCAGGGACCTGGGATTGAACCTGCAACTAAGGTATATGCCCTTGACTAGGAATCAAAACCTCAAGCCTTTGATCCAAGGTAGTGCTCTACCCAATGAGTTAAACTGGCCAGCAAGGACGTATTTATTAACATGGCGTAGAATGAAGACATCTTCACAAAGATCCATTTAGCTTTGACTTCAGGAATTGTGGTGGGCGGTGCTGTGAGATAGTTCTGTTTCTGGAGATTTGCCAGATGGTGGTGCAATAGGTTCAACTGAGGCTGGGTCCTCTGAGCCCCACATCACTTCAACATGCTGCTCTGATGTCTTAATTCGTGTTGTAGCATAATAATTCTTCAGTTTTATTAACTCCTCAATAGATAATATGAACAATTACAATGTATGTAAGGTATAAGGAATCACAACACAGTAGCATCTATACACTCACCATGGCGTTTAAGGTAAAGGACTTTGCTGATATACCTTTGAAGCCCCCCTATGGCTCCTCTGCATCCTATGATATTTCTTCCCTCCCTTTTCACAATTGGACACTTCCGTGAATTTGGGGTTTATCATTCCCTTGCCTTTCTTTATACTTTAATATGTACATTTATATCCCAAACAGCGTCCTGTTTTACTTGGAAATACACTGAGTGTTCTTTGAACCAACATGTTCACTCAATGTGATGGTCCTAAGATTAGTGCTCTGTTATTGTATGTAGCTCTAATCCATGTTTGTGTGAACATAGGATCCCATTATGTGAATATGCAGTAATTTATGTATCTATTCTGATACTGGACATTTGGGTTGTTTCCAGGTGCTTGTTAATACAAGCAATGCTGATAAGAACATTTACCTATAATATTGACATTTAATTGTACAGCTTAAGAAGAGTATTGGATTTTCGAGGAAATCATGCTTATGATAGGATAGGGCATATTTCTTCCTATTCTTACAAGGAAATGTCCTCAAGTAGGAGAACTAAGCACAGTGTAAACAAACCTAGTCTTTTTTCTGCAGATTTACTAGTAGGAGTTATTCTCTATATTGAAATAGTGTAAGCTATACAATGTCAGTCTTTGTTTGACCATTCAGGCAAAGATGATGTTCTGTAGTCATACTAAAGTCTCTTTAAATAGAAACCAGTATAAAAGAGGCCTTGAGACTTATGTGTTACACAGCCTGGAAGCTGTCACTGAGTCCTCAATTTGAAGCATGACATTGTACAGTAGTGTGTTCCTGGAGGGAAAGTACAAAACAGAATCAACAGTCTGTTAAAAGTGTAACACCCAGCTGCAGTGAGATGGAACTGAAGACTCACCAGACACAGGCCCACTTTCTGTGAGACAGGGGACTGGCCACACATGGTACATGTGTCTTCTTGAGCAGTTTCACTCAGACTGTGCATGAGCCCATGAGAGTATTGAATGGCAGGGCAGGTCAGCAGCTGCAAACCCTGGGCATGCAGCCTGGGCACAAAACTTGGGACAACACAGCCCCAAGTAGTGGGTGTACCCTAATAGAGCACGCCAAGGGGAACATGGTCTAGAGAGGGGGTGGCCATACTTCAGGATCCACTACCATCATCCCTGAGGGAGGATGCAGCCAAGTGTTTAGGCTTCAGACTGGCTGTGTGTCTGAAGAGCAGGACCCTAAACAATGAGTCTGTTTAACAGGGGTCTGGTTGCTGATAGAGCAAATTAGCCATGTGTTCTGTGTGGAGGGGATGGTTTCTTCATTGTCCTTGACCAGACCCATGAATTGGGTTCTGGAAAGGCATTTATACATTTGCAAATATATATAAACTAGTGACCCAGTGTGTGAAATTGTGAGATCCAGACCAGCAGGAAATTGCGCGAGACCCGGGACCCCAGACCCCGCCGCACCACCATAGGACCCAGAGTCAAGCACCTGCACGTGCTTCACCATGCATGCAGCCCACCCATCCGCAAATGCCCCACTGCTCGCGCAGCCTCCTGATGGCCGGTCGTTAGGGCATTAGGGCCACTTTTTTTTTTTTTTTTTTTTAATATAGACTAGAAGACCACTGCATGAAATTCATGCATGGCTAGGGTCCCTAAGCCTGGCCAGCAATCAGGGCTGACCGGGGCCTTCCTTACCCTGGCTGCTGGCTGCCAGCTGCCGACCAGGGCCTTCCTTTGTTATGCGCCACCTCCTGGTGGCCAGCACATATCATAGCGAGTGGTCATCCTAGTTGGTCAAACTCCCAAGGGGACAATTTGCATATTAGCCTTTTTCTATATAGGATAGTCTGCCCCTCATAAAAACAAACTTCAGTTAGGAAACAGTGGTCACAATGAAATACTAAGAATAGAACAACCATCCCAGCCTGTTGATTTAGTTGGTTAGAGCATTTTCCCATACACCAAAAAGGTTGTGGGTTCGATTCCTGGTCAAAGCATATATCTAGGTTGCAGGTTTGAGCTCCGGTTGGGGGACATTTGGGAGGCAACCAATCAATGTTTCTCAGTTCTCTCTCTCTCTCTCTCTCTCTCTCTCTCTCTCTCTCTCTCTCTCTCTCTCTTTCTCTCTCTCTCTCAATCTCTTTCTCTCTCTCTGACTCCCCCTTCTCTCCCTGTCCCCTCCTCTCACCAAAAGCAATAAATATTTCCCTAGGTGAGGGTTTAAGTAAAGAAATAAGTAAAATATAGAGCAATGTAACATTTTTAGTTTTCTATTCTTTACCAGTCTCAACACATTTTTCTATTATTGGCAGAATGCTTACAATACTAATAATGTACTAGAACAAATAATATAAAATACTTAAATTTGAAAATGTTTTATGACCAGTTTACTGTATACCATTTCCCAGTTTTCTTCTTTATGGATTTCTTTTACATGATTGTATATTCATCTTTGTCTCTGCCAAGGGTCTAGCACAGCAAAGGCCACTTGCCTCCTCATGGATGTTCAATACACAATCATTTAACTGAACTTTAAGGGCTTCAGCTGTCATTGTGTGGGAACCTAATAGCCAGTTTCCACCATCCTCTCTATCCTTAACAGGTTCATGTAGTCCTCTAATTCCAACAAGGTGAAGATACTGTTAGATCTGCAAGATGAGATGTTGCCATTTCTTTTACCTTTTTTTTTTTCCTTGAAGTTTGCCACCTACCTGGCTTTTCATCCAATTTCCTGTTTTGCTGGGTTCATTGAGTTATATACACATACATGTGCCACTTTTTCTGAATCCAGGAAGAGATGCTCCACAATGAGTTAGATGAATTAAAAGCATGAAGCTGGAAAGGGAATAATAGTAGATATATATAGTATATTGGTGAAAAAGGAATACACATATAGAATCTGAAGGGCTACACCAGTACAGGCAGAACTATAGGTAGAAAAGGTAGGGAAATAGAGGCAGAGACAATACAAAGAAGAAGTAAGAGATTACACACATATGACAGAGCCCCCACAACACCCAGAGAGAGCAGTAAATACTGTTCTGAGTAATGTCAACATTTTGCTATTTGAAGAAGACATGTTTCACATTACATGAAACAAAATATGCCACTTTGTGTGCATTGTTACATTTCTATAGCTATCAAAATTATGTTCTTAAAAAATGAACATTAACTTATATTGGCTTCAGGTGTACAACATAATGATTCAGTATTTATATTGCAAAATGATCATAGTAAGTTTCATTAACATCCATCACATTCATAGTTATGAAAATTCTTGATTCATATTTGGGGACTTGTATAATCTGAAGGATCCTATGATTTTTGACCCTCCAGAAATGTGAATAATGTTTAAAAATATAAATTACTTTATGAGATTTAATTTTTGAGTCCTGCCATTTGTAATTTATGAAAGAAATGTTGAATTTTCCAATACAGAATCAGAGAAAATCATTTTGTTGTAATAACTAAATTAGTAGCCCAGCCAGTGTATCTCATTTGGTTGAGCATTGACTTATGAACTAGGAGGTCATGGACTGATTCCCAGCCTGGGCACATGCCCAGATTGTGGGCTCGATGTGGGGGTCATGCAGGTGGCAACCAATCAGTGATTCTCTCACATATCTGATGTTTCTGTCTCACTGCCTTTCTCTCTGAAATCAATAAAAGTATATTTTTTAAAAATTAAATAAATTAGTAAACTGCAAATAAGCACATTTTGAATTCTTTTCCTTTCAGCTTTTTTTAAAATTTTTTTTATGTTACTTATTCTTGGTTTAGGACAGTAATGAATAAAGTAATAGATTTTCCATTACACTATTAAGATTATTAGATGAGATTAGTCTGTATTGCCATCTGTTGGTGATTGATATTTATTTTTGGCAAAATAATTGCTGCTATAGATTTTATTTATATGTATTTAATAATTGTATCAACCAGTGCATTTTAAAGAAAAGCACTTTTAGAAAATGACCTACTTGACAAACAGGAGAAAATTTGAGATCTTGGCCTTCTTGATTTAATAGTTTTATTGACTAAGGCAGTACTGAAATACTTTTGCCTTTGACTAACTTTTATTTTATTTATTTTTTGTCAGAGCTCCACCTCAGATAAGGCGTCCTAATCGAGAAGTAAAACCTCTGAGGAAAGAAATGCCAGGAGCCGGAGCCCGGGGACCTGTAGGCCGAGCACATCCTATATCAAAGAGCGAGAAGCCTTCTGCAAGTAGGGACAAGGATTACAGAGCAAGAGGGAGAGAGGACAAGGCAAGGCTCTCTCTTTGGAACTCATTCACGTGAAGCCCATGACTTTTGGTCCATAGTATAATTTTTGTTAGTTTTTCAAAGTACCGTGGTTTTGATAAGAAGAGATTAAAAAAGGTGTAAATTAAAACCCTGTTCTGCAATGCCAATAACCTCAGAGGTATATTTAAAACACACACACAAATATTAAGGAAAATGGGTCTTTTGTAGAAATATTGAAAATAAAGTTTTAAAATTTCAAAAGTATATTTAAACAATTATTCTGAATTAAAAATGAAGAATAAATGAAAGCAATTGTAGGGAACAGACTTATAAGGAAGAAAGTGTACATACAGGGTGTAGCAAAAGTAGGTTTACATTTGCTCGTATGGAAAATAATACAATATTGATAAATAATAATACAAAAACAAACTGTTTTCTGTACTTACAACTGTAAAACTACTTTTATTCCATCCTGTAGTCACAGAATAAGATGATGGATATAATTTACTACAGCTTAAAAGAAAATATAACTGTAAATTTGTTTTAAAGAAGAAAATTCCCCTTGATTACGGTTCACTGTATACATTTACTTTATCTGGAAAATTGATCAGTGAATAAACATAATATTGGGTGGAAATTCTGTATTGCCCTTAAAATGGACTTCAGAACATGGGCTGAAGCTGAAACCGGTTTGGCTCAGTGGATAGAGCGTTGGTCTGCAGACTGAAAGGTCTCAGGTTCGATTCTGGTCAAGGGCATGTACCTTGGTTGTGGGCACATCCCCGGTAAGGGGGTGTGCAGGAGGCAGCTGGTCGATGATTCTCTCTCATCGATGTTTTTGGCTATCTATCCCTCTCCCTTCCTCTCTCTGAAAAATCAATAAAATATATATATTTAAAAAAATGGGCTGAAGATAACCCTATGGGGTAAGGAGCAAGCCAGGATGACCTAATATATCTCTTGGCCTTAATTTGTTAATGTTTGGTTGAGGACTTTAGCATCTATGTTTATCAGAGATATTGGCCTGAAATTCTCTTTCTTTGTAGTGTCTTTATCTGGTTTTGGAATTAGGATAATGCTGACCTCTTAAAAAGAAATTGGAAGTGTTCCTTCCTCTTTGAATAATTTTGAGTCATTTGAAGAGGATATGTGTTAGCTCTTCTTTGAATGTAAAACTCCTCTGTGAAGCTGTCTGGACCCGGGCTTTTGTTTTCTGGGAGGATTTTTTTAATTTTTATTACTATTGGTATATACTCTGTTGTTGTTCTATTCAGATTTTCTGATTCTTCCTGATTGAGTTTTGGGAGATTGTATTTTTGTTGGAATTTGTCAGTTTCATCCACGTCGTCCAACTTGTTGGCATATAGTTGTTTGTTCATAGTATTTTCTTATAATCCTTTTTATTTCTATGGTATAAGTTATTACTTCTCTGCTTTCATTTTTGATTTTATATATTTGGGTCATCTCTCTTTGTTTCTTGATGAGTCTGGCTAATGATGAATCGATCTTATCTTTTCAAAGAACCAGCTCTTGGTTTCATTGATTTTTTTTTTCTGTCTCTATGTTATTTACTTCTTCTCTAATCTTTGTTATTTCCTTCCTTCTACTCACTCTTGGATTTTCTTGTTGTTCTCTTTCTAATTCTTTAAGTTATAGAGTAAATAGTTTATTATTAACTTTTCTTGTTTTTTCTTTGTTTTGTTTTTTTTTGTTTTTTTTAGATATGCATGTAGTATTATGAACTTTCCTCTTAAAACTGCCTTTGCTATTTCCTAGAGATTTTGGGAAATAGCAATTTTCATTTGTTTCCAGGAAGTTTTCTTATTTATTTCTTGATCTCTTGGTTACCCATTTATTTCTTAATCTCTTGGTTACCCATTCATTGTTTAATGACATGCTATTTAGCTTCCATGTGTTTGAATGTTTTTGAGTGTTTTAATGTAGTTGATTTCTAATTTCATGGCATCATGATCTGAGAAAATGCTTGATATGATTTTAATCTTGAACTTGTAGAGACTTGTTTTGTGTCCTAACATGTGGTCTCTCTTTGTGAATGACCCGTGTGCATTTGAGAAGAATGTATATCCTGGAGCTTTGGAATGATGTTTTATAAATGTCAACTAAATCCATCTGATCTAGTGTATCCTTTAAAGTCACTATTTTCTTGTCAATTTTTTGTCTGGAAGATCTATCCAGTGAAGTCAGTGGGGTATTAAAATCCCCTACTCTGACTGCGTTGTTGTTGATCCCTCCCTTAAAGCTCTCTAGAAGTTTAAAATATATATACATATATATATTTAAGTGCTCCTATATTGGGTGCATATATGCTTATCAGGGTTATATCTTTTTGTATTGATCCCTTTAGTATTACGTAGTGACTTTTGTTGTCTCTTGTGATGGCTTTCATTTTGAAGTTTATTTTGTTGGATATGAGTATTGCTATTCCAGCTTTTATTTCTTTTTCATTTGCATAGAAGATTTTTTTTTCTATCCCTTCACTCTCATCCTGTGTGTGTCTTTTGTTCTGAGGTGGGTCTCTTGAAGGTAGCATATAATTGGGTTGTGTTTTTGTATCCATTCAGCTACACTATGTCTTTTGACTGGCGCATTTAATCCATTTTACATTTAATTCATTTTACATTTGAGGTTATTATGAGTAAGTATTTATTTATTGCCATTTTAATTCTGTTTACCTATGTTTCTCTCTCTCTCTCTCCCCCCCCCCCCTCTCTCTCTCTCTCTCTCTCTCTCTCTCTCTCTCTCGTTGTCTCACTCTCTTCTTCTCATGATAGCAATCCCTTTAGCTTTTCTTGCAGTGTTAGTTATATGGTTATAAACTCCTTCAGCCTTTTTTGTTTCTGGGAAGCTCTTTAGTTTACCATCTATTTTCAATGATTTCCTTGCTGGATATAGTCATCTTGGTTTCAGATTCCTGCTTCTCATTTCTTTGAATACTTAAGGCCATTCCATCTGGCTTGTAAAGTTTCTAATGAGAGATCAGTTGACAGCCTTATGGGAGTTCTTTTGAAGGTAATTTTTTTTTCTGCCTTTAAGAGTCTCTCTCTTTAATTTTTGTCATTTTAATTGTGACATATTCTGGCATGGGTAAACCTGTTTGCCTTCTTTTTGCTTGGGATTCTCCTTGTCTCCTATACTTGTGTGACTTTTTCCTTCACCTAGTTAGGGAAGTTTTATGCCATTATTTCTTTAACCACGTTCTCAATCCCTTGCTCACTTTCTTCTCCTTCAGTCACCCTTATTTTGTGGATACTAGGGGTCCGGTGCACAGGATTAATGCACTGGTAGGGAGCATAGCCTGCATGGATCAGCCAGCTGTGGGATCACCACTCATCCTGCTCTGCCAAGCAACTCTAGACCTGCCCTCTGAGTGACTACTCCCTGGCCCTGCATCTTCTGCAGAGCTAGAGAACTCTCCTCTCCAGGGACCTGTTCGGGGCAGGCCCAGGGACAATAGCACTGAGAGGCGGCGGAGTAGACCTCAGTCCCGAGGGCGGTGGCCATGAACCATCTCCCAGCCTCCAGGATCAGCTCTGTGAGCCAGTGGTGGTACTGCATGGTTCGGAGGAGGTGGCAGGTAGTGAGGAAGAGGAGCCCAGGGTAAAGAGGCAAGGATGGCAGCTTAGGTTCCTGCCCATCAGCCTGGGGTTTGTAGCAGGAGCAGCCACTCATCCTGGTTATCCGAGCAGCACTCCCACTGTGGTAGGGCACTGAACACCAAGGGGCAGCTCTTGCGTTGAGTGTCTTCCCTCTGGTGGTCAGTGTGCATCATAGTGACTGGTCGATGGGTCATTCTGCCATTCTGTCACTGAATTTGTGTTATATAGGACTGTTACATTTTATGTTGTCCCACAACTCCTTTAAGCTGTCTTCCTGTTTTTTCAATTTTTCTTTTTTCTTTTTGGTTCTCTGATTAAGTGATTCCCCCCTCCCCTCTGTTTCCTAATTCACTTATCTGATCCTCAACTTTTCCTAATCTTCTGTGCATTCCTTCCACTGTGTTCTTTATTAGGGCTCTGTCATTTTTCATAGTTATTATATCTTTTTTTCTTGCCTTTGAGCATATTTACCATCATTATTCTGAACTTAATGTCTGATAAATTTCTTATCTCCATTTCATTTATCTCTTCTGGAGAATTCTCTTGTTCTTTCATTTGGAGGTTGGTTTTTATGTCTCCCCATTTTGGCTTCCTGTATTAGGTAGATCTGCTATGCCTCCCAATCTCTAGTGCAAGACAGTGTCTAATGCTGTTTCTGACTAATTAGATTATACAGAGACTCTATGGCTCCAGAGACTGTCCTCTGACTGCAGACTGATTGTATTCAGCCTTGAGTAGCCTCAGGCTATGTCCCCATGTGGTGGCAGAGATTTTTTAACAGGGTGGGTCAGTTGTTTCTTCCTGGAGGTTGATTGTTATTTTCAGTCTCTTAATGGGCTTCAGAAACATCACAGGATGCAGCAATAGGGTGGGGCAACTGCCTTCCACCCAGGCAAAAACCATTTCTCCTGGTATGTCCCCGGATCCTTTCATGCTGCTGCCCCAGTGCTGGAGCTCAGAGAGAGTAAGTCCATGCACTGCCTCTTTAAAAGGGACTGTCTGATACTCTATCAGCCTCCATGTCACTCAGCCACACTGCCTGTTGGTTGTTACAGTCCTAAGTTATGGGAATTATCTTCCTGGCCCTGAAATCTTGGACTGATGGGTTTGGTGTGGAATAGAACCCCCTTGCTCTTCACAGAGGCCTCTTCAGCCAATATTTCTCTTCATTAAAAACATGCTACACATGGGTTTCATACCAGTTTGTTCTGTGCCTCTACCCCTTTTACCAATCTCGACGTGCTTTCTTCTTTACTTCTTTATTTATAGGACTTACATTCAGCCAAATTTCAGGTGGTTCTGAATGATGGTTCTGTACTGTAGTTGTAATTTTGATGTGACTTTGGAGGATGCAAGTACTGCCATTTCTCTTCTTTCTAACATGCATTTTTTAATTTAAAAAGG